TCCAGGCCCGTTTCGGCCCCGGTTGAAAATTTTTTTTTCTCCTGCAGGTGGGGTCTTTCGACCCGCACAGCAACCTTCGACCCTCGCTCGGCCCCGGGCTCGGAGCCATCCCCGGTGGCAAGCCGTAGGTTCAGCCTCGAGTAAAAAGTTTGAGGAATTTTATGCCGGTCGCTATTGAAACTGAATTTAGTGATTCCTTTCAGGGCGTATTCATTCCACATCGGGAGTGACGGGACGCTTCAGCCGGTGCCCTTCCCGCCGGACGCCCTCTTGGGGCCCGGGATCCCGCGACACGCCCGGCAGATCCACACGCTGCTCCACGGGGAAGTGGTCTGCGCCGTGACCCTGAGCCACCCGACGAAATACGTCTACACGGGGGGGAAGGGCTGCGTGAAAGTGTGGGACATCTCGCAGCCGCCGACGGCGTCAACGAAGAATCTGACGCCGATCTCGCAGCTGGACTGTCTGCAGAGGGATAATTACATCCGGAGCGTGAAGCTGTTGCCGGACGGCCGGACGCTGATCGTCGGGGGAGAGGCGAGCACCCTGAGCATCTGGGACCTGGCGGCGCCGACGCCGAGGATCAAGGCGGAACTGACGGCGGCCGCGCCGGCGTGTTACGCGCTGGCGATCAGTCCGGACGCGAAGGTCTGCTTCAGCTGCTGCTCGGACGGGCACATCGCGGTCTGGGACCTGGCGAACCAGACGCTGGTGAGGCAGTTTCAGGGCCATACGGACGGGGCGTCCTGCATCGACATCAGCCCGGATGGGAGCCGGCTCTGGACCGGAGGGCTGGACAACACGGTCCGGTCGTGGGACCTCCGCGAGGGCCGCCAGCTGGCGCAGCACGATTTCAGCTCCCAGATATTCTCGCTGGGCTATTGCCCGACCGGGGATTGGCTGGCGGTGGGCATGGAGAGCTCCAACGTGGAGGTTCTGCACACGTCCAAGGCGGACAACAAGTATCAGCTCCACCTGCACGACTCCTGCGTCCTGTCGCTCAAGTTCGCGCAGTGCGGGAAGTGGTTCATCTCGACCGGGAAGGATAATCTCGTGAACGCGTGGAGGACCCCTTACGGAGCGAGCATTTTCCAGGTCGCTTTCGAAACCGATTGCTCTTCGTTATTTTGAAATTTCCAACACGAGTTCTATGAATTGTTTTATTCCTGCTACAGAGTAAGGAGAGTTCATCGGTGTTGAGCTGCGACATCTCCGCCGACGACAAGTACATCGTGACCGGCTCCGGAGACAAGAAGGCCACCGTCTACGAAGTCATCTATTGAAGACACCCATTTCGTGTTTTATTCCTCCACCCCTTTCTCCTGTGTTTCTCGCCCCTGCCATGTTTGTGCCATGTTGAC